GAATAAATGAGAATGTTACAGACCTAAAATGACCTGGAATAGGTAACACATCAACACTCAGTACTTTCTTAACACAATCTTTCAGTCACAGCAAAGTTAATCTAATTCAAAATCAATACAAAACCTATTTTTTTTTTTAATCCTTTCAACACTCATATTCTTCGGTTCAAATGTGTGGATTTTACTTCATGACATATATGCATATTTAAGAATAAACCCCTTCCACTTCAATGGATATTTGCACATCCTGATCAAAGAAAAATAAAAGTTTCATTTAATAAAATGCATCTGCTATTTGAGAACTTGCGATAATTTATGTGCTTAACTTTTGAGAGGTTGTTGTGTAGTTACAGAAATGCATGAGGCATCTCTAACTTAAGATGCCGGTAGACAGGAGTGTTGAAAGGAAATAACTTCATATTCACATTACATGCGGAAAGCACCAGCCTATTTAGTACCCAGAAATAAGCCAGAACAAATTACTAATAGCTTTTCATAACTTTAGCCACTAACTGAACTATTAGACCTGATATACATAAAAGATTAAAATACACAAATGTAATAAAAATAACAGTCTGGCAGCTAATTCAGGAAATATATTTCAATGAAAGACAAACAGTATATGTGTAAATCCTTTTTATAAATATGATCAGCAGTTTCGAGTTTGAAGAATAGGAAATGTACTTACTAAGAATACCATTTCAATATCCTTATAATTTATGTGGAAATATAAGGCAAATTCAATGATTTTAAAAATTAAAAAAAAAAGGAGAAAATTTTTAAAATGCATCATTACCATCATATGTGCAATAATCCCGCTCATGAACATCTCCTGTGCCGTCATCTTTATTACCAGCCCACTGGTACAGAAACACTTCACTATGTGAAGATCCAGCATCAATAACAATACCATACTACAATATAAAATACAGCATGCTTAGCAACCCTTAATACGAAAGTGATAATTTTCAATCAGATTTACAAATAAATTTACATAAGATCATTATAAAAATAAAACACCTTTAGGTTATATAACTGACCTTTTACCAGCATTAGTTTGAACTTTGCTGCTCTAATTAAACATCAATTTCTTTCAATAAATATATTTGAAATTTTTTTGGAGATTAGCAGTAGTTTGTATAACTGAGCTAAAGAAGAGAAGGTGAGAGCTAATACTCTTCTTCATGTAATAGGAATTCACGGTTTTGAAATATATAATACATTTTCTATAGAAGGCAAGAAAATTAAATGAAATTAAGACAAAATTTAAGGAACATCATATATTTAAGAAAAATATTACATATGCTAAATACATTCTTTACCAGAAATCAGACTGTGTCCAAAACCATAAATGAATAAGTAACAAACTTTGGAAATAAAGCTAGAACATAATTTTGCACAATTAAAGGATAGTTTGATAAAGGATAAAATTATTTGTGGTATCGGAGATATGCAGTGAGAGCAAGATTATTGTACAAAACATAATTAATATTAGAGGAAGCTCTTGATATCGGCAGATCTTCAGAAATAAGTGCACATCAAATAAAGATACTGATGTAAACATAACGCAAAAAAAAGTAAACATAATATATCTAAAGAGGTAAATAATGAGAAACAAGTAACTAAAGTTTATTGTATTATTTCATGAATATTGAAAATGACCTGCATATGGAAAAATCTGTCACAAGTGTAAAAAGGTGAATAATTTTGTGAATCAATGTAAGAACTATAAAATAAAAAGTGAAGCTATCAAGGCACACAGAAAAAGGAAAACAAATTAAACTACTAAATCACAACTTTGAGGAAGTGTTAGAATTTTAGGTAGGAATATTAAGTCTTTAGTTTGAATAACGAAAAACAGCAATGGACTGTTGAGATTAATGTAAATTAAAATAAACTTAATCTTCACTTAGATATAGAAGCAATGTGCAACTTTATAAGCAAATTGAAAATGCTGGACATTCCAGAACAGAAGTCTGATATTAAAAGATTAGTTACATTCTCTCAGAATAAAATGGGTACTATAGGAAAAGTTGTACTAAACTGCCAATATGGAAAAAATAACTATGATATGGAATTCCAAGTTATAGGCAAAGAAGTACCTTCTACATCAGGATTAAAATCATGTCTGTAAATAGGTTTGATACAAAAAGTAACGGCTGTTTATACTGAACACTTACTGAAGGAATAGAGATATATATTTGATGGATTAGGCCATTCAAAAGAGGAATATAAAACCCAGCTAAAACAAGAGGCACTGCCACTAATTTATCCTTTAAGAAAAATGCCTCTAACTATTCGAGATAAAGTGAAGAAAGACATAGAAAAAAAATGGAAAATTTAAATGTTATTGAAAAGTAAGAGAACCAACTGAATGGATAAATTCAATAGTTGTTGTTGTCAAACCTAACAAAAATATGTTTAGCTCCTACATACTTAAATAAAGTGATGAAATGAGAATATTATCCTATGTTAACAGTAGATAATGTTATCACTAAAATTCCAAAAGAAAATTATTTTCTGCTTTAGATGCTAATATTGCTTTTTGGCAAATTCAGCTTGATGAAGAAAGTGTACATTCAATACACCTTTTGACCGATATAAATTTAAAAGATTATCATTTTACCATTTAGCATATGTTCAGCTCCAGAAATTTGTCAAAAAAATTAAATCAAATAATAAAACGTCTAGACAGAGCTGCATGTATATCTTAATATAGGGATCTAATGAGACAGAACATGACCTATGACTTAAAAAAGTACTCTAAAGAGCACAAGAAAATAATCTAAAGCTCTAAAAGGATAACTCTATAATAAAAGCTAATCATGTGAATTAGTTAAGAAGGCATGAGTTAAGTGAAGACAGGATAAAACTTGATCTTTAGGAAGTGAAAGCAATTGATAAAATAACACAACCTAAAATGAGCCTTCTCTAGAAAGATTTTTATGAAAGATTAATTACTTTGCCAAATTTTTTTCTAAACTGTTATTAGTGCATCATTAAGAAAAATATTCGCTTGCACTGGACCGGAAAACATCTAAATGCTTAAGCAACTAGTTGTAAAATCACCAGTATTAAAATTCTACAACGTTAATTAGGATGTATCTCTTCCAATAGATGCAAATTTTGAAGGATTGGGCACTGTTTTACTGAAAGAAAATCATTTTAGCTATTACTTTTGGATATTCTAAATTTCATCAATATATATATGGCAAACATATTGTGGTTGAAACCGACCCTCAACTATTAGGAAGCAAAATTAAGAAACCTCTCTTCACGACATCTCAGGGATTACAGTTACACCTACAAAAAGGAGAAAGACTTAAAGCACGCACTTTTAAGTAGAGCACATCTGAATACAACGTAAGGTAATTAATAAATACTTTAATATAATACTTACTTTAATTAATTTAATTATTATTAAATATCCTGAGTTGAACGTCATGAAGCAAGAACGTAATACAAAGTAAACATGATTTGAAAATTCCACGACAATAATTTTTACAAACTTTAAAAAACTAATATAAAACTGCATTAAAAACTATGCAGTTCTGAAAAATACAGCTTTCGAGTTATAGCACAATACGACACTTTTGATTTTGTTTGAATACCAGCCTTTTCTCCTCTTTTAATATCTTCCTGTTGTATCACAGACATTAATCATTTTCCCATGAGCTCATGAGAAGTCTAGATTCTGGCAGGCAGTTAGCATTTAAATTGAAAATAAAGGCACGAAATTTTTCAGTCCACATAATGCCACATTTTCAATGTAAATAAGAAGGAGAGCTCTGACCTTAAGACCCTTGTTTTTTAAGCAGTTATGTGTGTAAGCAAATTTGGCTGATCATCAGCATCCTGTAAATGTAGCCATTTTGAAAATGTTGAAATTGAAGTTAATTAAAACAATCTGACCTTTAGGTTACTTTTAAATTTTGTACTTAATTCATTGAATATGAGTTCTTAATATCATTTTACTGTCTAATACATATCCAAATGGGACAACATTATGGTAGGTGAGATGGTGTAAGTAAATAATGCATTTGCTCCATGGACAGGCAAAAGATCTCTTCAAAATTTAATTAAGATATGGTTTTGTCAGAGAAGCAAACACAAAAATATAACAATCTGATATTGCTTATAGAAAATTCAACTAGCTGTATGGCTAGCAGATATACTTTTAATATGGAATGTTACAAATTCTCTACAATCATATCAGGTTCAGACATCTCATTAAATATATCTACTGCATACAAACCCTGGGTAGGTACCACTGGCACTGTAACAAAATAGTCAGTATCATTTACTTTACATGGGAAGGCTGAATTTGGGACTTTAGATTATAGCAAAGCACACTCAGGTTCTCAGTCAATTAAACAAAGATAGAGGATTCTAAAAGGTAACCTGGCCCATATTTACTTTACACATTGGGGAAACACCATGAAGGCCATCTATCCACTGGGAAAAAATTCATGGCAAACTATCTATGTTTCACAGCTTTAGCTATTCAGCCATCTGTCCACAATTATTTTACACAGAATTAATCATGTTTTGATCCACTGGTATACTCCTAAAAAGCTGAATGAAACTCCTTTAATTTTTTTATGAATTACACAAAATCCCACTTTTTAATTTTATACCTGAAATTTTCAAAATTTCCTGCATTTTTTAATATTTGTGTAAATTTCAATACTAAAAATCAGTTTTCAACTTTATATTGAATTAAATAAACAGACTGAAATTGTAGAGGGCTTCAGAACTCAACTTAGAAGTCATTTAACAAACTTCAATTAAAACCAATCAGATTATTAAAAAAAATTCCCCTCTTCATAAGTTATAATACTGTTCTACTTTCTCATTTTTAACAAGCAAGCTATTTTTTACATTATGCTTTCAACAGTCAACCCTATTCTTAAGAAGCTAACAAGAATATAGAAATAACAAAAAAATAATAATAACATATTTCAATGGAAGAAAATTTTTAACAAATTATGTACAAAAATAAAGAGATTTATAAATTACATGTAAAATGGAAAATGAGTATAAAAAACAACATACATCAAATGGCACCATATGGCCAGTTGCACCAAACAGCACTGCAGTAGAAATGAAGAGCACACAAGCAATAATTATTATACATATGGCAATAACAAGAATGTAGACTGGACGGAAATGAAAACTTCCTGGAAAAAATTTGCATTTTAACATAATTACATTTAACTATAAAAAGTACATTTACTTTGAAGAATTCATAAACTTTCTAACTAGTATATTTTTAATTCTACCAAAAAACCAAAAAAGACTAACATACTAAAGTCACTAATAAGTAAAATACAACAGTAAACAGTCTAACTAGTATGTTTTTAATTCTATCAAAAAAGACTAACATACTAAAGTCACTAATAAGTAAAATACAGCAGTTACTGAAATGTACATAATAAAGTGACTAAAAAAATAAATATTAATTGAACTTAAGACTATGCAATTCATTTTTAGTGCAAGATTAATACTGAAAAAACTGAAGAATTAAGATAAAAAAATTTACAGTGTACATTCTGTAATGCTAATTACTCAAAATGACATAAATACAAGCCACACTGATTTCACAAAAAGATTCTGAATACTCATTCTTTAAAAAGAAAAACTAGTACTGTCTGACCTACGTTCCCTTCCTGAAAAGTCACCAAATATTGGCATCTAATTTTTGCCAAGGCAAGATGGAAAAGACAACAGTTATTTTCGAAAATTACACAAAACACCCAGAACAATGTGAAACAGCAACCAATTAACAAAATTTAAAATGCAAGAAACATTCATAACAAAACACTTTTTTTGGCACTGTTCTTTCTACATACCCAGTGATCTGTTTTAGAAAATATAGAAAAAATAGAAAACAAAAAAGAGAATTGAAGAAATAAATGAGCCTAAACAGATTGTAACATCAATGAAAATTTTGAATGACAGAGATTAACTTAAACGTAGCTCCGTACAGCAGAGAAAAGCGAAGAAGTAAGAAAGGTATACACATACATACATACGTAATAAACAGTTACGTCATCACTGTGCGGATATATGTGAACAGCGCTTGCGTCAAGAGAAGCGCTCTTAAGCTAAATGTCGTATTATAATTCATGATACAACAATCTCCCTTTCGATGTTTGGCGGCTGAAAAAAATAAACATTAATCATTTACAATCATTCCAATTAATTTACAGCACTTAAAATGTTTCGAAGCAGTCAATGTTTTTGTCAGTACATCTGCAGGCATTTTCTCTGTTGGCACATATTTAACGTCTATTTCACTTCTTTCATAAATTTCACGTATGAAATGATGTCTAATATCTATGTGTTTAGCGCATCAGAGTTTTTCATAAGCTTCTGTGCACCTTGATTATCACTATATATAATGGTTTGATAATCAGCATTATAATTTAATTCTTTAAGAAAGCGACGTAAGTAAACTACTTCTTTAGTACTTTCTGAAAGACTTGATGTACTCTGCTTCAGTACTTGATAACGAACAGTTTGTTGCTTTTGTGATTCCCATGTTATTGGATTTCCAGCAAGCTTGAATAAGTAGCCTGTATATGATTTTCTATTATTAACATCGGATGGCCAATCGGTATATCCAATAAGTGCTTTTCCACTCTTCTGAAATTTTAGACAATAATTTTTAGTTCCTTTTAAGTATCGAAGAACCCGCTTTTCAGCCAACCAGTGTAATTTTCCAGGATTGTTATTAAACTGACTCAGGTGACTGACAACATATGTAATATCCAGCCTACTAAACACGGAAAGATACATAAGCAAACCAATTAGACGGCAATAAGGTATATTGTTCATTCCTTCCTTTTCAGTTTCAGAGGGACACATTTCTTTGCTTAATTTTACACTAGGATCTAAAGGAATTACTACTGGTTTTGCATCTTGCATATTAAATCTTTGTAGAATACAGTCAAAAGTCTTTAATCCGGACTTGTCGGGACTTCGGCGATTCCGGATTATCGGTTTTTCTGGATTATAGATCATCAGTTTAAATTTGGTAAGATGGCATGCAGAAATCATAAAATTAAAAATATGAAACCGTAATTTATGAAATAAAGAGCAATAATGATCTAAAGGGTATCAAAATTTACAAAAAAAAAAAAAAGGCTTAATATTTATTTGTTTAATTTATTAAACATTTCTTTCAATGCGCATGTGTAAAGCATACATTATGCATAGTCGAAATTAGAAAATTGCTACCAGAAAACTATTTAATGTGCATTCGTGATATTTATAATGACGAGGAATTTGATTTACATCATATCAAAGACGGAGTACATCGAGATGAAATACTACATTTAGTAAGGAATTACAAGCCGAATAAAATAAAAACATCTGCCCTGCAGATAAGGATAGTGCTGACAGATCAACTTCCAGTTCATTGCGCGCCGCGTCACCCCCCCTCGCACAGAAGCGTGAAATTGATAAACATATTTCGGAATGATTAGAGAAACAAAGGATATGCTTTTACCCATTTTTTGTAGCAATTCCACTTTTTGTTTGATGGACATCGAAACATGCTTTCGCTTTGTAAATCCTTTGGTAGCTGCAGAATCAGAAATTCTTTTTGACATAATCGAAAGTTTAAGCTTACTTTTATAAAATTGCTCTAACGGTCTGCAAAAAATAATAAGCCGGATCCAATTAGAAGATTAAGGAACAACGCAATCAGCAACATTAACTGAAAAGATAATTAGATAATTTTAGCTTGGCTTATACTGTCCGCTATACATTAAACATGTAGCAATGAGTTTTATGTTCGAAAAAATGGAGTAAAATGGAACAAAAATAAATTCCGGACTAATGTTAGAATTGGCGCCAAAAATATTATAACTGAACTACGTGAGAATACTTCGTATTCTCACGTAGTTATAATATTTATAATATAACTGAGAATACGAACGTGAGAATACGAAGTTTATAATAACTGAACTACGTGAGAATACGAAGTATTCTCACGTAGTTTCAGTTATAATCTCAACACATCTCACACATTTAGATTCCTGGTCAATCAGACAATCAACTCAGACAATCTCAACACATTTAGATTCCTGGTCACTGCTTATCGATGAAGATATGTTAAAATATGTAGTTGACAATACAAATATTTATATTGATTCAATACGAGAAAATTTCACACGTGAACGGAATGCGAAACAAATGAGTTGGAAATCAAAGCTTTAATTGGATTGCTGTATTTATGTGGCGTTAATAAATCATCCCATGTGAACGTAAGAGATTTGTGGGCAGCAGACAGAACGGGAATAGACATATTTCGATAAACAATGTCAGTAAACCGATTTCTCTTTCTTTTACAATGTCTCTGTTTTGATGACATTAGAGATGGTCCCAGTAGAAGAGAAATGGACAAATTAGCTCCGATCAGAGATTTGTTGGAAATTTTTGACAAATTGCCAAAAGTTATACTGTAGGAAATATGTGACCATTGATGAGAAGTTGGAATCATTCAGAGGTCGTGTTCCTTGAAACAAATATCCCAAGCCGGTAAAGTATGGCATAAAATATTTGCTCTTTGTAGACACAAGGGTATTTTATACCGCAGTATGGAAATTTATGCTGGTAAAGCCAGATGGGCCATTTCAAGTTGAAAATGGTGCAAGCAAAGTTGTCAAACATTTAATAAGGCCCTTACACAACTTGGGTCGAAATTTAACAGTGATCATTGGTAATGGGATATGAATATCTCAAGATCTCCTAAAGAAGAAAATTACGATAGTAGGTACAATGCATAAGAAAGAAATCCCACCTGAGTTTCTGGTAAAGAAAAGAGAAGTATATTCTTCAATTTTAGGTTTTCAGAAAGAAGCAACACTTGTATCTTACGTGGCGAAAAAAAATAAGAATGTGATCCTGTTATCCACAACGTGTTCCTGCGATCAAATCGATGAATCTACTGGGGAATCTTAAAAAGTCTGAAATCATTACATTCTATAACATGACAAAAGGAGCAGTCAATGCTGTAGATGAAATGGCAGCTGCGTATTCTACAGCAATATTAGCACGTCTAATGCCTATGGTGATTTTCTTTTCAGTGTTAAAAGTGGCTGCCATTAATGCAAGAATAATTATACTATCAAAGAAGGAACCACCAACGGAATACCGTACCAAGCGTACTTTTCTCAAAGCTTAGGGATGCAGCTAATAGAAAGTGTTAAAATGAACGAAGACGAGCATCTGTAGTTCCGATTCCAGGCAAAAATACTGACCAACGTGAACATGTTAACAATGAACCACCCCCCCAAAAAAACCTAAAATACTTACAAAAGGTGTACAGTGCCCCAAGAAAAAAGATAGAAATAGATTCATTGTGACAATTGTAACAAAAGTATATGTATGGAACATTGACCTCATTTTGTAAACCATGTCAAAAAATTGTAAGTAAATATTTTACCTCTCCTATTCTATCTATTTTGATAAATAAATTAACATGGTTTATTTTAAATTTTTAAAAACCTTAATTTTATTCGGCAAATTTTATTCGGGTATGACTACCCGGCCGGTTCTCGTGTTCGTCGGATTGGTGCGTGTGCTCCGGTTAAGTCATCCACATATAAAATTAGAATCAACTCGCCTTGAGATGTTTCCATCCTCTATACACACTTATCTGATAATGGTTGTAATCCAAAGTTTTTGAGTTTTTTGTCTAATTTTTCATACCACTGTCGTCCACTTTGTTTCAAACCATAAAGAGACTTTTGCAAAGCATAAACATAATCAGGATTATTTGGTCTTCAAAACCTTTAGCTAGCTTGTTCCATGAAAATTTCTTCTTTTAAATCTCCCGTTAACATAAGCCATAACAAAATCTAGTTGATATAACATAAGGTCTTGTTCAGCACTGTATGCAATCACAGTTCTTATAGAACTTGCTCTGGCTACTGGAGCAAAGGTTTCATTAAAATCAATTCCAGGTTCCTGTGCAAATCCTCTAGCAACCAATCGAGCTTTTCTCTTTTGAACTGTTCCATCTGCATTATATTTCGTTCTAAGAACCCAGCGACATCCTATTACCTTTTTGTTGTGTGGTCGCTTTACTAATTTCCATGCACCATTTTTAACAAGTGCTTCATACTCACTTTGCATAGCCTTATGCCATTTCTTCAGCATAACTACCATT